ATTTTAACTTGAATTAAGGTTTAAAAAGTGCTAATTTAAAAATCAAATCGACGCGTGTAGATTAACAAAGATTTTATACAATTAGAAAGACTGGGATTTTTACATTTTTAACAAGCAGTGTAACAGTTACGTGAGTGATACACACCTGATGATGGCCATTTAGGGCCGAAACATGTAGTGTGGAGGAGGAAAAAGAAGTAAAAACTACAATAAAATTGTTGCACTTAAGACGGTATTTGTCCATATATAATGTCTTTTCCTGTCCAGAGGCAGAGTACCATCACAATCAGTTTTAAAAATCTTTAGTTGTATAGCCTGTGCTCGTGCACTTGAGAAGTTGTCCATCCACAATGTGTGCCCTTTGCTAAGCAATGGTTCCACAAGAGGCAACACAACAGCTACTGTTTTACTACAGCCACCTGCTTAAGCTGGGTTCCTTGCTCGCGGATTTTTATACCCTGAAGATGGAGGCGATATGTTCCTCTGAAATGTTGGTTCACACAGGATCTACATGGTACCACATCCCACAAGACGGCATTCTTCACACACTACTTGTTATGGCTGAAGCAGACTGTTGCATAATATAAATCTGCTACTCTCTAAATGGACCCATACACTAATGAGTCTGGCTCATGAGTCTGATTTGGCTCAGGTTCCAATGATCCAAACTTGTCCATGTGTGGGTCACAAAGTTGGGAGTCAGCTCACGGTTTATGGTGAAATTAATCCGAGCCCACCTCCCAAGTCAAGCTTGCTGAGCCGGGCTCATATGTGTGTGAGCCTCTTAAGCAGGGGAAACAATGAAAGCATCCATCCATCCTGTTACATCATACATCATTTGAAAGGCTGCACTGTCCTCTACAGAACTTCTGAAGTCAAAACTATAATACTGTGACATGTTGCGCAATGGAAAACAACCCCTCCCTCCCCCAGCCGTGACATGGCAGCTCTGACCACGGTGACATAGCCCCCCGCCAGGCTATGTGGCACCGCTTCCTACTGTGATGAGGCACGCAACGCCGGTGATGTAACACGGCGTGAGGCAACAGTGGTACCAATTACGTAACAGGCAAAGACTGAGACTATATAAGGGGACAGCAGCCTACAGGAGAGTTGAAGGGTATCAGCGGCCGAAGACAGTTCTCCAGTCAGCAGTGAACGAGTTGAAGTGTATCAGCTGCCGAACTGAGTTCTCAAGTTTACGAGAGTTACGAATTAGCCAGCAGGGATTCAGTTAACCAGGCAATAGCTGTCTATCTGTCGTCGGAGTATTTGTTTTACTGCCAATGGCAGTAATTGTCAGATTGTAAATTGTGTGATTGTAAGAGCGAATGTGAAATAAAATTCGCTATAGTCAATATAGTGTGAAGTTATTTGTCGCGCTATACACCCAAAACGTGACAATACTTTGTGCATATTCGATAGAGGGAGCTACATATCAGACTGTGCACATGCTCCCAAGATTGATAGGCCACCTCGTAAAACAATACTAAAAACTGATCAAGCAGGTCGATCATATTTA